AGAGCTTCTTGGTCCTAAAGTACCATATCGTAATGCAATTGGTGCGCTAATATATCTTGCTAAAAATACAAGGCATGACATAACCTTTTCAGTTAATGTCTTAACAAGATATAGCTCCGCTCAAGGATAAATTGGAAAAAAATCAAGCACATATTGCGTTATCTAAGGGGGATTACCGATGTGGGCTTATTTTATGGCAATGATCGCAATACCGATCTTGTTGGTTATGTCGATGTGGAGTATTTATCTGACACACACAAGGCTTGATCTCAAACATGTTATGTGTTTACATGTGTGGCACTGTCATATCTTGGCGATCAACTAAGCAATCAATCGTGGCTACTTCTTCTAATCATGCCGAGATAATTGCTATTCATGAAACAAGTCGAGAATGTGTATGGTTTAGGTCTACTATACATCTTATTCGAGACAAATGTGGTTTGAAGTGTGATAAACTACCCAAAGTTTTGTATGAAGAAAATACAACATGCATAGCCCAATTAAAGGGAGGATTCATAAAGGAGTTAGGACAAAATATATTTCACCTAAATTATTGTTCACACATGATCTTCAAAAGAATGGTGATATTAATGTGCAACAGATCCGTTCAAGTGATAATATGGCTGATTTGTTCACCAAATATCTACTGGCGTCAACCTTCAAGAAACTAGTGTACAAGATTGGGATACGAAAGCTCAACGATGTGAACTGACGATCTCATCAGGGGGAGTTAATACGCGTTGTACTCTTTTTCCCTTACAAAGTTTTGTCCCATTGGGTTTTCCTTGCAAGGTTTTTAACGAGGCAACCAAAAGGTGTATTTCTAAATATGTGTACTCTTTTTCCTTCATTAGGATTTTTTTTTCCCATAGGGTTTTTTTTCTAATAAGGTTTTAACGAGGCATATTATTTATGGACATCCAAGGGGGAGTGTTATGATAAAAATCAAAATATGGTGGATGTCTACTCTTCCTCCATGATCTTTCTCTCAAATGGTTAATGACATATTCAATGACATATTTTCTATGTTCAATGACATATTCCATGACATATTTTCTTCACTTTTCATGCCTATATAAAGGCCTTGTAATAGATAGGAAAATACACACAATTGAAGAAGAAAATTTCTTCATTTCTCTCTATCTCTTTCTTGTTCATGTTTTACTAAATTGTCTTTATTTCTTGTTCATGTTTTACTAAATTGCTTTTATTTCATAACAATTTCGACCTAATAAATAACTTAGTTTTTCTAAAGAATTTTGAGTTTCTCAGAAATTTGAGAAATAAACCAATAATATATGTGAGAGTTTCGTAAATGTAGCACGAAGAGTGTCGCTTAGATTTGGATAAAGCTGAAAATTTACTTGAAAGACAAGTGCATGAATGACTCTGGAATGACAATAAATATATACTCATCAATTGGCATCCGAATGAGTGAGAGCGCGAAGAAATGTACAGGTCAAGTTGATACATATATAAGTGCAACAAACTTGTTTGGTAATACTATAATACAGACTCATCAGAATACACACAGTGAAAGATGTAGTATGTCCACAGCGTGTGCGATAGCACTTACTGCATTCAGTCGTCTTAATTTGGAGACACACATCTATATGTAGGTAGGAGTATTTGAATGTATATAAATTGTACATTTATTATTGGTTTACACCTATTGCCATAAAGTAATAGCAGGTGCAATAGTATTATTCTGCATGCATTGATTTAAAATACTACAGGCCCATTTAATGTCTCAAATACAGAACTTGTAAATACTGGTCACTATTTTTATATACAAAGAACACAACTCTTGTATTTGGAAAAGGGTGAAATATTGAATTATTTGTTTTGGAATAGTGTGAATATTGAATTACTGGATTGAGAGTATTTAATTTCAATTGAAACAATGATTTTACCTATAAACCTTTGTTTATTCACAAATTTATTTTCCAACTCACTTAGAAGGTAGATTTGTTAAGCTGATGAATCATAGTTTTAGATTAAACCCACCTCCCCCGAAATGCGATACCCCCTGGCCCCCACTGCTAAAGCAAATATTTAACATGGGTTGTCGACAGAGGCGGATATAGACTTTCGGTATCGGATTTAACTGATCCCAATACTTTTGACGTGTTGAATAAATGTATGCATAAAAACTTACTAATATTGCAATAAATAATAGATATGAACCCATAATTTTAAAGATATTGAACCTTAAATATTGAAATCATAGAATTTAAATTCTGGATCTCTATTTTCCACTTCTACTTGTCGACAAGCTCTCTAATTTCCATTAGCTGGGCCTGGTTCATAGTGGAAAATATACTTAGTTGTACTTTAAACGACAAAGAAATATCTTTTTCTTTAAGAAAAGAGAAGAATATGATCAAGAAGCAGGGCAACCTGAGAATGAAAGATGTTGAGTTCATTACACGGAGAATTGACAGGTAACTGAACATGTATATGCAACAGTATATGACAACAGGGAAAGAGGAATAACAAAAACAATCCAACAAACAGTAATAAGAAGAGAATATTACAACAGCTTGCCTTGTTTTCCCTTCTTCCAAATTTTGCTTCAGAACATTCCTTTTGTTCTAGAAGAAATAGCATAGCTTCTACTTCTTTGAAACACATCAGTCACTTTAACATCCTCACCAAAATCACACGGCTTATCTTCATCAATTCTTCCAATAGCAACAGAACGACTCCTAGGCACCACATTAATATTCACCCCATTTTTAGCAAGTGATTTTTGCCTCAGAATCTCCGTTTCCACCTTATTTACAAGACTCCTTTTCGAAGCGATTCGAATCAGCTCCCTAAAATCTTCATCCTTACTTGACATAGACGAATTGGCACTAAAACTTCTGGGCAAAGAGGAGATTTGTGCAACAGCAGGACAACCCATAACAGTTCCATAGCCAATTGTACCAGAACAATCCATCAGGCTATGGACATAGAAATCCCTGGCTTTAATTAAAACTCTGATGGGTGCTTTTATGCACTTCTTAATTTTGCTTTCTTTGCTAGCCTTTGCGCTCATTCTCACTTTGTACAAGTCTGTATGATCAGGAAGAAGATATAAAGAAAATGAGATCATTAAATATATAATATGCAAGAATTATAAAGACGGATAGGAAGAAAATAAATAGGTAGGGGAGCTACTAATTAAGATAACAGCGCAACTTTGGAGAGTGGGAAAAGCAACTTAAGCTTTTAATGATTGAAGACGCTATATTGGTTGAGGTATTTATAATTTAATCGTTGGGACATATTGGCATGAAATGTATATCTGGACTGGCCTTAAAACAGAAATATAAAAAGGGGCTCGAAAAGGATAATAGCACAAAAGGGATTGGGCTGATAGAATTGATATAAAGAAGGGTTTTTCTATGGGGTATCTCCTCCAGGTTGCAAGTGGAGTAATAAAGGATTTAAACGTAGCAGATAACTTGTCTTGTTTTTTTATAAAAGACTAGTTGTAATTATTATTTACGTAATGTGATAGTATAAAAATTAAACTATTTACGGATAAAAGCTTAACTCGAAAATAAAAGGTTTTTGTGGGACGTGATGACCAAAGACATCATTTATGTCTCAACAGAAAGGAAGACTAAAACTATGGCCGAAGGTGTGGACCATGTCCAAATACAACTTAATGTAATTTAAATAAAAGAAACACGCCGTAATCGAGATGACAAAGATGATCCATTTAAGTATATTTGTTTTTGTTAAACAGTAAGCAGAAGCTGAATTTTCGTATTACTAATATGTTAATGACGACGGAGAAAGGAACATTATTCAGAAGAACTCTGAATTGCATTTGGAAAACGAAAATTCAAAACAACTTTCCTTTTATCAAACTTCCTTAGTCAATATGAGAAGAATGTGTGCCATCTCGTTTTCTCTTTTGCTTAAACTTTTCTTTTATTTTTAGCTGACAAAAGATAAAAAGAAGATAGTAATAGCCATTTTTTGAGTCCGTCATCGTTCAAAATATAGTAAGGGCAATTTTGTTTTCTCATGTTGATCATGTTGTATGCCAATATGCTATTAATGGCTTTAGGACAAATTCTTGTAAGTTGTAGGACGGAGACGGACAGACGAGATTTCCTATTAGATTAAGGCTGATATCCAAATGGCAAATACAGGACGATATTTGTTAACCTATGAAATCAACGAGAAATTTGAGAATTGGATCAAGGAGAAAATCCTAAATGTCTAAGTCGGTAAGAGAGAAGAATTGAGAGACAATTGGGTAAATAAAAACTGATCCATTAAATTTAGAATAGAGTCAACTAACTCTATTTATATGTACAAATGATTGTAGCTAAAATTGAAAATAACCGGACAAGGGCCGGGTCCGTGAAGTGCAAAAATGAAAGATGACCCAATAAGAAGAGGCCCAACACTTTAGAAGCTCAACCAGGATCTGGGCTTGGCATTAAGGGTCTATCAAACCCTCCCCCCCCCCTTCCCAAGCTTGAGGGTGAGCGAGCACAAAGCTTGCATAAAAGTCTGTGATGAGGAACACCTGTTAAGGCCTTGGTAAGAATATCAGCTAGTTGGGCAGAAGTATGCACATGCTGAAAAAAAATCACCCTAGAAGAAAGAACATCCCTAGCATAATGACAATCCACTTCAATGTGTTTGGTGCGCTCATGAAAAACTGGATTTCTGGCAATATGTACAGCAGCTTGACTATCACAAAAAATAGAAACATGAGAAGTAATAGATAAACCCATATCAGCAAGAAGCCTAAGCAACCAAGAAACCTCAGCAACCACCTGTCTCAAGGCTCTATATTCAGCTTCAGCAGAGCTTAAGGAAACAGTAGGCTGCTTCTTGGACTTCCAAGAAACAATAGAATCACCAAGAAGAGCAAAATATCCAGTAACAGATCTCCTTGATAGGGCAGGCAACCCAGTCTGAATTAGAGTAAGCTTTAAGGGTGAAATCAGAAGAACTGCTGCGTAAGACACCTTGAGCAGGGTCATTGGCAAGATATCTAAAAACATGTAGTGCATCCAACATATGACGAACTTTAGGAGACACCAAAAACTGACTTAAATATTGAACAGAGAAGGAGATGTCAGGCCTAGTGTGCTGCAAGAAGTTCAGCTTGCCAATCAACCTTCTGTAGATAGAAGCAGAAATGGGATCATCAGAGTCAATATGAAGCTTGTTCTGGGGATCAAGAGGAGTGGTGACAGGCTTACATCCAAACAGTGAAATTCATATAGGAGGTCAGTTGTGTACTTGTGTTGATGGACTACATAACCACCTTCTACCAGAGAGACCTCAAAGACCAAAGAAATAATGAACAGAACCAAGATCTTTGATTCTGATTTGCTGATCCAAAAAAGCTTTCAGGTCTGCAATTTCTTGACCATTATCTCTGGCTAAAAAGATATCATCCACATATACTACCAAAATGACAATGGAGGAGGCAGTGATTTTGGTGAACAAAGAAGAGTCATTTTTGCTAGGGGAGTAACCTCTGGAAAGGAGAGACTGTGAGAGCTTTGCAAACTATTTTCTGGAAGCTTGCTTTAGACCATAGAGAGATTTCTTCAACTTTTAAGCCAAATGAGGATCAGAGGAAGAAGGAGCAACAGTTAAAGCCAAAGGGATTTTTATGTACACCTCTTCATGTAGATCTCCATGTAGAAAAGCATTGTTGACATCCAACTGGTGCACTGCCCAACCATGCTTGACTTCAAAAGTAAGAAGGCACTTTATAGTTGTGATCTTGATAACTGGACTGAAAGTTTCAAAATAGTCTATGCCCTCTTTCTGAGAATCACCCCTAATCACTAATCTTGCCTTGTATCTCTCAACTGAACCATCAGACTTTTGTTTGATTTTATATACCCATTTGCATGGTATGGCCTTCTTTCCTGGAGGCAAAGGGACAATGCCCCAAGTTTGATTTGCCTCCAAGGCTTGAAATTCTTTAATCATAGCATCCTGCCAGACAGTATGAAGTGTTTTTTGATGGTAAAACTGAGGTTCATGCATGTGAATCTCAGTAGAGGTAATCTTGGAATTCATAGAAAAAGTATGAATGGATGTGTAGCAGATATAGTCTTGAAGGTAGGTAGGTATGTTAGATTCTCTAGTGGATCTCCTAAGGGGTACAGTGGAAGGAATAGTAGAAAAGGTAGTAGAAAAGGAGAAGAAAAGGAATGAGGAGCATAAGGAGAAGAAGCCATAAGTGAGGTAGGGTGAGGAACCTGAACACGTGAAGGTGCAGAGGTTGTAGGAGTAGGTAAAATGTCTGTAAAGGGATCACGAGAATTGTGAAAAGCAGGGGGAGGAGATGAAGAATGATAAGGGAAGATATGCTCATGAAAAATAATTGTTATTCAGAATTTCAAGAAGCAGCTGAGGTAGAACAAGCAGGTATAATATGATACTGTCATTCAGAATAAATAATTGTTATTTATACAATTTTACATTCCTGTTAAGTAAGTTATATTTTATGTAACAGATATTGAGATATCAATGCACAGTTCCCAATTCACGAAGTGACTGTAGCAGCTCAGACAGAACAAGTCATTGAGAAACAGCTAAATGAAGGTGAAGATGCACATCATGTGGATGAAGTTGTTTTTGAAGGATCAGGCATTGATATGAAGGGTGTGACATTGGATGACTTTGAGTTGCCAGACAACTTAACACAATTGGTTAAGTATGGCGAGCCCTTACCAGATGAAGCAACCCCTATTCATCCAGGGAGAACCAGGCAACCGGGGAAACATGCACGATCACCTTTCATACCTCTATATAGTTCTGGAGGCAGCAACTCTATTGGACCTAAATTTTTCTACCTCAAGCACTCCTTCACAACTCTTATAGGTAAAAATGTAGATTCTGATGTGTTAGATAAGTTCAACAAGTGGTTATACCACTGTAGTGACAAAGTATCTAAGAGGTATGAATGCTTATTTGACACTTTCATTTCAACATTTTAAAGTTTAAATATGTAATTCATTCTGTGATTTTTTTAATTGGACATTTATTTGTTGTTACAGGAGGAAGGCTCCATTTTCCATAAAGGATAACCAAATCAAGCCTTGGTTAGACCTTGGAGTTGAAAAGGTGGATAAGAAGGACTGGTTTTATTCCCTTGCTCACCCCGGACAAGTCCTCAATGACTCGGTAAGTATCAAAGAATAAATTCACGAGATATATTTTGTCTTTTGTTTTGTAGTATAATTGTAGTTATATTGTAGATATGAAATATATGTGACCATGCCTTTTATTATAAATTGTAGATATAATGTAGACATTTCTTATAAATGTTGCTCTTATTATTTATAGTGTGATTGTATTTAGGTTGGACCTTATGTATCATATTTGATGATGAATTGTATGTAAAAATTGTATATTTGGTAATTTGGACAGAATTGGTATATCTGTATTTCATGATTGTAGTTAATTTGTAGTTAAATTGTAGAGCAAGTTGAAGACTTATAATATTAACTGTAGTTTGAATGTAGATATTATTGAGACCTTATGGTAGTTGCTGTGTATAGCAGCTAAAGTTAGATTATTTGAATTCTGGCTTTGTAGTTTAAAATGTAGCTGCTTTGTTGATAATTGTAGTTACACTGTAGCTTATAGTAGATTTTATTTTATTTTGCAGCACATTGATGTTATTATGTATTACCTGAGAAAAAAAGGCAAATATGGCCCCAGCAACAACAACACTAGGTTTACAACACCCGATTGCTTGTTCAAGTCAAAGATTGAACAAATCTATGAGAAGCTTATAAGTTCTCCGCCAGAAAAAAAGTATTTGGTTGTTAAACCCGATGATGATGTTGCAGAATATATTCTTGGGTATAGACTTCTTGCTAATGTTGCTTGGGATGAAGTTGACTATGTCATCATGCCCGTGAACATTGTAGAGAATTTCCATTGGTTGTTGGTCGTTTTCGACATAGCGGACATGCAACTTTATGTGTATGATTCCATGGTGTCTTCACATCATCATAATGTTGTTGAATCATGTGTTGATAAGTTTTCAATCATTGTCCCTCTGTATTTGTCTTGCACTGGTTTCTACAGGAAACGTAAAGACATTGACTTCAAGACCACAAAGGCATACATTGAGAAACCAGTTACAGACCCTCTCAACATACAGTGGATGGTTGCGGAGATTCCACAGCAAAAGGAAGGATCACTGTAAAAAAACTATTCTCTCTTTCTAGATGTTTAATTTTTTTTTATAATCATTTGTTAAATAATTAATTTTTTTTGTCTTATGCAGCGATTGTGGTGTATTTGTAGTTGCTTTTGCGGA